TTCAACCTTTCCGCGCCCTTTCTGGCAACTCGTTGCAAGTCAGAGCTAAGGCAGATTCTGCCCTACGTGGACATTCTCTTTGGAAATGAAGCGGAAGCGCTGGCAGTGGCTGAAATGCAAGGATGGAATGTGAGTGTATTGTTATGATTTTGAAATTTTGTACTTATCATTTTTTTCCAAACAGACAAAAGATGTTGCCCAGATTGCCCAACTGCTGGCTGACAGCGCCTACAAACGACCGAGAACGGTAATCATCACACAGGGAGGTGATGACGTCCTGGTCGCCTTCTCCGACTCGCCCACCGAGTTTAGACGCTTTCCAGTGAACAGTCTATCGGAGGAGGAAATTCTCGACACGAACGGTGCTGGTGATGCCTTTGTCGGTGGATTCCTTGCCTACCGAGCACTAGACAAGCCGCTGAAGCTGTGCATCGAGGTGGCCATATACGCAGCGACGGAGGTGATCAAACGCAGTGGCTGTGCCTTTCCGCCGGAGAACAAGTTTAGAGTATAATGTGTTTAGGTTTACAAAAAGTTTTACAAGTTTTTTCTTTATTTCTCATACACCGTTCTAAAAGTTGCCATCGACAGCAGACAATGGTTTTGACTGCAATCTGCTCCTCCCAACAGGCCAATTGGCCGTTGCTAAATCGTTGACAGGCGATTCATGATGGTGTTGAAGACGCGCCCATGAGATATCCAACGGTGCTTGAGCACCTGATCCACATTGGGACGTTCCTCCGGCTTGAAGTTCACCATGTCGGCGATGAGGTCCTTGCAGGCCTCATTCACCTCTTTCCCGTGGTAGTGCACCTGGTGGGCGGCGATCTTCGCCATCACCTCCTTGGAGTAGTCATCGGCGAAGGGCTTTCGCAGCTCGACCATCTCAAAGAGACAAATGCCCATGGCGTAGATGTCGACGGCTTTTGCGTCGTACATCCAATTGTCGGGCACAGTTGCGTTGTTGTGATGAGAATGGCCTGAGTGGCTGCCACTGCCGGTAAAGGCGACCACCAGAAGGGGGAACAGCTCTGGGGCCATGTAGCCTGTTTTGCAGTTGATAAATATTTAGTATTTACTACAGAGACATATCTTAAGGATTTAGAATTTTAGCAAACCTTTTGTTCCACAGACAGTCTTCTTCATCATCTGCGTCAGCACCATAGTGCCGGTTTTAGCTCGCGAGGCAAAGCCAAAGTCGGCAATCATCGGCACGTTGTTCGCTGTGAGGAGAAAGTTGTCCAGCTTTAGATCACGGTGAACGATGTTCTTCGAGTGAAGGTATTGCAGTCCTTTTGTCAGGCCGATGAAACGCTCCTTTGCCTCTTTGTCATTGTACGGACGTTTGAGATTGTACAGCAGATCAGACTTGATGGAGCCGTTCTCGCAGAGGAGCATGAAGATGAAGCCGTGTCGGCTGGTCTTCATCACCTCACAGGCGGCCACGACATTCTCGTGTTTGACGTACTGAGAGATGAACATCTCATTCTTCAGACACTTCTCCGCCCACGGGCGAATAGCCTCGCCTTCGAGGTTGAAGACCTTACAAGCGAGGTCCACCGATGAGTCAATGCCGCTGTTGCTCTCACAGCTGACAGAGCGTCTCTTGGCACGGACGCGGTACACCCTGCAAGGGAAATGTAGTTATTGGATGATGTGTCAGTAGTGAGTAGTCACTCTAGGGTCGCGTACTTTCCGAAACCTCCCGATGCGATGGTGCTCACAATTTCGTAGCCACGCTTGCGAAGAAACTCCTCAGGAGCTCGGCCATCGCTAGCGGTTGTTTTGATAGCGGAGATTGAGGAGCACTCCTTTTTGGGTAGATTTGCATCAGACATTACTGTGCAGTTTGGCAAGCCTAATACGAGAGAGACGTAATGGCTACGTAGTGTCAGCGGTTTTATTGAATCTGCTAAAAGTTCGAATGTCATTTTGTTCGAAAAAACTTTTTAATTGTTTGTGATGAGCTCCAATTGTAGGCTAGAAATTGTAAGTGTTTGTTTGCCCAATTTGGCACCCTATTGCTCAAACATTTTTTAGAGTAAAAGCGAAAAGACATCTGAGTTTCAAAATTGAAGTGCAATTGTTGGTGTTTGTTTACACACAAATTTTTCTTTGCATTAATCTCCTCAATCGACCCGGAATTACGGCATGAGGCAATACCTCTCTTTTTTCAATGTAACACTATTGAAGCTCATCTTCACAATTGCCTGCAAATGTTTTTGATGTAAATTGGACGGAAGTTTACACCTAGGAAACCACACAAAAATGTCCAACAGTTGGCAGGGCACCCTGACGTTCACACGCTTGTAGAAAGCATTTAAAAAGAAAACATTTTTGGCATCAACTGTAAATATGCCACTTTAAAAAGTGCTGCCAACTGCGTGCTAAATAATGTGATCAACAACATAGTTATTTAACTGTTTAAGAGTAGTAAATCAAAATCACTGCCAGACAATCAGCATAATTGCGGTGATTGATGGATGACTAACTGCTAAACAAATGCGACCCTAAATCCGTGTTCGCACGTTTGGTGTTCCTGAGAACAATTTGCTTTAGATTCTCAAAAGGGAACACATACTGGCCGCATTAAACTGTAACTTCTTTCCGTTTCTTTCTGACTAATTTTTAAGCAATGTCAATTTCTCATAAACTTTCTGGTCACAATTGTTGCTCATTTTCAATTAAGTAGCAATTCGCATTTAAAACAAATTTTTTAATCCACCGACAATTGTTAAAATCCATTCTGAGTATTTTGTAGCTGATAAGGACTATCACCTGATTACTTGTTACAACAATTTCCACTATATTTCTTAGCAATTGATCGACAGTTTTATTGAAAACTGCGGCTCCTCTTTCAGTGTAGTCAAACTATTGTTGCACGTACTCTTCCCAACAGAAGCGGTGCCTTTGAACCCGGATCTTAGAAGAAAAAGTAGTGGTCAAGAAAACTAGACGACCACTACTTTTTGCATAAAATGGCCTACATTGGCATCAACCTCAGGTGAGTAGGAAGATCGCGATATCACTTATAGAAACAGTTGATAAGCTTCCTCAACCAATTGCACCCTTATTAGGCAGTTGTTGCAGGAAAACAACTGATAACAACTGTATGTGTACACTTTAGCAGGTAAGCTAAACAATGATCCCTCGAGGTAATTATCTCTACATTAGCAACTGCTATATAAACAACTGCCGATGTTGGACTAGCTCACCCTTATTATTGTGCATATTGTTTCTGGCGGCTCAGCTCAATCTCATTGTACTCATCGCCATGGACTTTTTTTACAGGCAGCTACTTCCACTTTTAATCGCCACTCTCTACTTGTTGTTGACTGATTTTGCTGATGCTTTCGAACTGAACCCAGCTCAAACAAGCTTGACCGGAAACAGAACAAATAGCATCCACAACAGCAGCTCTTCAGTGATCGTAAAATTTGAGTGCCCCAGCAAGTTTGGCTACTACGCCAGCGCTGATGGCACTAGCGACAACATGACAAAGTTCTGGCTGTGCGTCAACTGGGAGCCACACGAGTTCAACTGTCCCAGAGGAACGCACTTTAATGTGCACGAAAACCAGTGCACTGAGTGGATCAGCGAGAACTCTACCAAAGAAGATGCGTCAGAGGTGATTCAACACCTGGAGCATGATGGTGAAGAGGAAAACAAACATCAGCCAAAGCAGCATCACCACAAAAAGTCGCATCGAAACCATCATCAGCATCATAACCGCCATCATCGGCACCCTCATCATCAGCACAAGTCAGGTCGACACCACTTCCACCAGCCGCATCCAGCAGTGGTGAAGGAGCTTACTCATCAGCAGCAACAACTGGAGCGTATGCACCGTCGGCTTGAATCAATTGACGACCGTCTTGACAGTCTCTACGCGTACGTCGACTCTAAACTGCGTCAGTCGAAGCAGCATCAGCAGCAACAGCACTCCAACAGCACCACTGCCTAGTGCCTGCAGTGCCGCAAACAGCATTAAAGACAGGTGCAATTGATCTCACAGCACACAGCAGATAATAAAAGAAAGCAGTAATGAGTTGATGATAACACATGTTGTTGTCAACCAACAAGTGGTTAATGGCAATAAATTTTTTATTATTTTTATATGGTGGTAGCGAATGAACAAAATGAGGATGTTTGAAATGTACAAAAAAGACTTTTTTTACAAAAACACACTAGAAACGGTTTTGCAGCATGGCGTAAAAGTGTGACCCACGGTCAGCAGCCAACTTCTTTGGCGAATCACACTCCACCACTCTGCCTCCGTCTAGCACCAGAACAAGATCGGTTGGGTAGCGCAGTACATTGTCGAGGCGGTGGGCAATGCTGAAGACGGTGCAGTCGGGAAACTCAGTGCTAATGATCTCCTGCACCAGCTCCTCGGTGGCTAGATCCATGTCAGCAGCCATCTCGTCCAGTACAAGAACCTTAGGTGACTTTCGCAGGAGGACACGAGCAACACAGAGCAGCTGCCGGTTTCCTGCGGAAACTGCCTGCAGGCGAGACTCGTCCAGTTGCTGGTCAAGGACTTCACTGCCAAAGACTTTACTGTTGCTCAGGCGCAACAAAAGATCAGTCAGTCTGACCTTGCTCAGAGCAGACAGAATGTGCTCATCACTGTACTGCCCGAGTGGGTCCATGTTCTCTCTAAGGCTGCCACTGAAGAGCAGTGCGTCCTGGGGAATGATGGCCAGACTAGTCCGAAGCTCGCACAGTCCCAGCTGTTGAATGTTGCGCTCACTGATGCAAATGGTGCCACTCTCTGCCTCGATCAGTCGAAAGAGGGACAGCGCAAAGCTTGATTTACCCGCACCCGTTCGTCCGACGATGGCCACCTTGAAACCGTGAGGAATGCTAAGATTCAAGTCACGAAGACAGAGGTCGAGGTTGTCTCGGTACCGCGCAGAGTACTGCACAATGGCAATGTCGCCTCGTTGAAGCCAGCTTGAGGCGTCCGAATGTACACTTTGATCACTGCTACGTTGCCCCAGCACTGGCGATGGCTCAATGAGGCCCTCCTCGGCTGTTTTGCACAGATCAGCGGCAGAACAAAGTGGCACACAGTTGGACAAAAAGCAGCCAACTGTGTTTGTTGTGCTCTCTGTCTCCAAGTGCTGGGCTGTCACTGTGTGCCGAGCAGCTTCTTGGGGCAGCTGTGTAAACTCCACCAGCCGTTCCACGGCGACAATGTTCGACTCGAGATCGGTGAAGGAGCGGATGAGCATGTTGAGAGTGTTGGTGATGGTGAAGGCACAGGTCAGGCAGAGGCCAACCATGCCCGAGTCGATGTGGCCTCGCTTCAGCACGCAAAAGACCGCAGTGCTGAGCACCACCAGATTGCCCAGCAGATCAAGTCGAATGGTCAGCCACCGACTGGCAGTGACGCTCATCAGGTAAGCAGCGGCGTTCCGGTCAATATTCTTCTGGTGTCGACGAATGAACTGCCGCTCCACGCCCAGCGCCTGTATCACCGGCACGCCCGAGTACGTCTCCGCGACGGCAGAGTAAATGGGCGTCCTAAGAGCGGACTCTACTCGAATCAGCTGACGAGAGGTGGCAATGGCAAACTTGTATATTGCCAGGTAGAGAAAGATGAGCGGAATGAAGAAGAGCAGAATGGACGGGTCGGTGCCCAAAATGATGGGACAGAAGGAGGCGAGCATGCGAAAGAACTCAATGACCAACTTGAGAAAGTTGGCCACCAGCGTCCGGTCGGCAATGTCAATGTCCTTGGTGAAGAGGTTCAGCAGCTGTGAGGAGCTGGAGGCGTCTGCAAAAAACCACAGCGGCGTCTGCATCAGTCGACCCAGCATTTCAGCGTGCAGCAGGCGAGAGGCTCTGAGGGCGCCAATGTTGAGCATCAGCGTGCCCAGGAGGATGAACACCGTCTGTCCTAGGCCCCAAAGGCCGTACACGGCCAGCAGTGACAGGCTGAACTGTGTGGGCGTGAGATCAGCAGCACCGGCGATGAGATCGTACAGTGGACGCAGCAGAGAGTGCGACTTGTCGTGGTCGCTGCTCCAAGTGCTCAGCCACAGTTGAGAGAGGAGGAAAAAGACGTTGGCGATGAAGAAGGCTAAAAGAATGCAGGCGGAGGAGATGAAACCCACACGTTGGAGGTAGGTCAGGTACACTAGGCAGGAGACGGAGCCCGTTTTGGTGACCATCGACTGGTCAGTCTGGCCCATGTTTGCACTATCATCATTGGCCATTGGCCTGCCGACCACGTCCTCCTGATAATCCTCGCCCGCTGGAAACCAGTTGGGCTTTTCTGGGGAGCTTTCAATAGTGGGCGATGAGATACTGGCGAAAAACAGTAATGTCGGTTCAGATGACGGACGTTGACAGAGAAACTTTCGACGTGAGCTGCCTCGACGAGTGAACGCCTGAAACCTGCTCTCCAAATCAGTGGCAATCTCCTCAAGCACCTGTAGGTCTTCTGGCTCAACAATTTCCACTTCGGCAATTTCAGCGGCAGCCGACGCAGTTGGCTCTGACAAGAAGCGAGCCAAAAATTCAGTAAACTCATTTTCTTCTCTCATCAGCTCAGTCATTTGTCCTTCGGCAGCAATGTGGCCACTTTTCAGCAGCAAAATGTGATCGACTTTAGGCAGTATGGCTAAATTGTGCGTCACCAGAAGGCGAATTTTGCCTGCCAGCAGGCCATTTGGACCGATTACTCGATTAAAAATGTGCTTGGAAGACGCAGTGTCTAGTGCAGAGAGCGGGTCATCGAAGAGATACACATCAGAATTGGCGTACAGGGCTCTAGCTATTGAAATTCTTTGCTTCTGGCCTCCACTGAGATTTTTCACACTTACAATTG